CCTTCACACCATCCTAACACATGAAAATCATGGCAGATGCTAAAAAAGGTCATGTCAAGATGCACGTTCACCTCTGTCTGGATTCTACTTTTTATGAAGGATACCAATGAATGTCACTTTCATTTGTATCAGCACTATAGTGTCCCTTCCTCAGATATACAGGGTTCTGGGAGTCCCATAAAAAATAACCTCCTGATGTGAGCAAGACTTATATTATTCAACAGAATGAATAACAAAATTGATATTAAAAAAAAAAAACATCCAACCAATTCAAACCTGGTCTCCTCTCTAAACTCCAGAGACAGGTCCTTGCTTAGGGAGGACAGAATCTCTTAATCATATTAAGAGGGGATACAAACAACATTTAATGCCAAAAGCAGTATTCATGATTTTTAACAAAGGCAAAATGATTTGAATTCTTACAAAAATTTAGTATCTTAGAAGGGTTATCTGTCCTCTAGCTGCCACACTGTTTGCAAAACAATTGTCTCCTAGAAAATACAACTTCACTCTGACATGTTCGGCCTTACGCACTGTCACTAAATCATACGTAACAGCAGGCTTATTCCCCAAAATTCAAAACCTTTTGAAAAAGCTGCAATACCTACCACTGCTTCCTGGTTCCACAGCATGTTCTGTACCGATTTCTTTTGTTGGAGTTTGAACTTGTGCTTCAGATAGGGTATTTGGAACAGGCAATTCAAATTCAGTGCCTATCTGACCATTCTGTAACCTCTCTTTCAGCAACGACACCTAAACAAAATGAGTTATTTTGGTAAAAAAGAAACAAGGATTCTGAGTAGATCTTGTTTTCATCTTCAAAACCAGAGAGTTAAATAAAATTGATATCACCAAGTAGAGAAGGGAAAAATATGTCTGAATTTTTTAAACTTTTTTAAAATTCAGAATTATGTTTCCAATTAACAAAAATAGTATCATTATGAGTGGAGAAACAAATGCCAATTAAGCAAAGCACATTAATTTTGCCAAAGCAATTTTAGCTCAAACATCTGCTAATGTTACGTTCTTGGTAACAAAGACATTACGAAGGTATTTAAGTGCAGAACAATCACATTTAACGTGAGTGAGATCTTACAAAGATATCACCTAGCACAAAAATGCACTTTATTTCTAGATGATCATGAATTCTCAAGAAGCTTTAGAACATCACAGAAATTACAATAAAAGATGGACGTGCATTACAGGAAATACGAAATTTAAAAAAAAAAACAAAGCAGGAAAAGCAGTTTTAAAGAACATCTGTTGGATATGGTATCTTACCTGAGTTTGCAGGACACTAATAAGTTGATCCTTTTCTTCTAAGGAAGCATCAAATTCCTCTTGGAGTTGTTTCTTAGCTTGTTGATCCATCTGGAGCTCCTGAGAATCATAAAGAAACGCATCTCAAATGATAACCAAAATATGAATTTTAAAATCTCATCAAAATATTTGGAAATAATATTAAAAACAGCTCTTTGCAGTTGTGACACCCGAATACCACAAAGTGGGTATTTCTTTCACTATACAACGACACACAACATGGTAAGAACATCCCATTATAATACCAGCGGTGGGTATTTCTTTTACTATACAACGTTACACAAAACATAATAAGAACATCCCATTATAATACCAGCATTAAAACTGCAAGAGTCTAGATCTGATGCAAAATTATCAAGGATCCTTTCTCGTTAACACTAAGTTTGTGTAGGGATCACTTCAAGCCCCCTCCTGAAAACTGTTTTCCACGCACACATTTCCCCTGGAAGCTGAAGACTGCACTTCAGTAGATTCTTGACTGAGCCACCAGATTAAGTCAATGTAAACAGCAGAAATGGAAATTCCTGTTACGCTCTTTCAAAATGACAAATGCCATTTATAAGAGCAAAAAGCTGTCATTTTTATTCCTCAAATGTGTCTCAAATGAGAATGCCAGGGAATGACAACTTAACTATGTGGCTTTACTGTCGCTTTACTCTCTACTTACTTGCATTCATTTGGCTTTAAAAACTTGGAGATGTTGCCTAAATGCATCAGTAAGATCTACATAATCTTATAAATACTGCCAAGTGACTATGTCCACTTTTTAACCCTGCATTGCCTGAGATTCTCAACAGCTACTGATCACACGTCTGCCTTGTGCTTCCGAGCTTTAGGAGTAATTCCTTCCAAGCAAAGCAAAGCAGCTCAGGGCAAGCTGAAGTGTCAAAGAGATTTACTGAAACCAACACAGAAATAGTCCTCTATGGGTCCCAAAGTCCTTTCTGATCCTTGTCTGAGAACACTGAAGACTGCTGGAAGACTGCTGCTGAGGAATTACTCTTAACAGCAAAAAAACTGAAGTAAGCAAAAGGCACCTTGACTTCCAGGGACTATTTCACACTGTCAACTCGGCCTCAAAGGAGACTGTTAATTCTTACATGGCACTTTTGGAAGAAAATTGTCTGATTCGACATAATGGGTAAAATGGACTGTATGATGAAGAAAAGTATTTTTAAAATTAATTTTAGATAACAAATTATTACATCAATAAATGGTCTGTTTTGTACCATTTTAGCACCCACAATGGAAACATACTATTTTATTTGTATTTTTTCTTTTAAGTCTGTTTTACCTGATGCTATAATACCTGGGCCTCCACAAGACCAAAAAAATGTATTTTTTGAAGTTTTCCAATTAATAAAAAAGAATTTTAGTGTTAGATTTGAAGGAATCTTTCCACCTACAAGATTTATAAAAAAATGAAATTAAATTTTACGACTAATATATATAGAAATTTCTATACATAAAATTAAGGAAGAAAATATATGTAACACACATATATGAATCAGGAAGACTACGACAGAAAAAGTGAAATAGAAGTATGCATACAACCAACCCTATTTCATAATCAAAAACTTTAACTATGGTATATATATGCCTTCCAAACTTTACTAAATACCAGTAAGCTGGAAAACCAAACTTACTGGAGCATGCAGATAGAGACTTAACACAGAATGAGCTTCTTTCATGTGACCCTGTAAGTGAACTGGAAAAAAACCCAACATTGGCAAGCCACTTCTGTCAGTACTGCTGTGGGTTTTTCCTCTCCGATGGGCTGACAGTTTAGCTTAGGTCAGGGCAACATCCCAGGCACGGGCTGCGGCTCGGACGTGCGCAGCACACCCAGCACTCTGGCTCACTGCTCTCAGCTGCTGGGGCAGAAGCAGCATGGATCTGAACCAAAATCTACCCCTGTGGCAATCACAATTCACAGCCTCCTTACTTGGATTACTCCCCCCACCACTGAAGAGTGCCCTGCCATTCCCAGTGACCTCCTTTGAAAGGACTGGCTGGCTGCCCGACTGCTCGCACCAGGGCAGCCTCCTGCGGGTGAGCGCGAGCCTGGGGTACGTGCGCACCTGGATGCTCACAGACGCGGTCCCTCGCCCTCAGCGACTGACCCCAGCCCCTGTCTGCAGGCGGGACGCTTGACTGTCTGCAGCCAGTCAGCCTTCAGGCAAAGGTGGGACCTCGCTGCGGTCTGACGGCTCTCGCAACCTCCGCGCCAGCGCTGCTGCTCGGCACGGGGCACGCCAACACAGGAGCGCAGCCAAAGAGAAACCCCATGGCTTTAAGTGAGCTGCTACCCAGCTCCCAAGCAGGGTAGAAGCATGGACTGGAGACGCCCTCACACACTCATCTCCAAATGCTGCACTGGCTCATGGGGCAGTAAAAAGGCTTCAGCCTCCCGTTCTGCTTCACCAGGATTTGACAACATGGTTTTTGTGAACCTGCCCTTTTAATTTGCTCTGACCAATAATTTGTACGTGTCTTTTAATTAAGCCCAATCTGTTGATTATCAATACCAAATACATTACAGCTTCTCCTTTTAATTTTGCTATAACCTAAGGAGACAATAATCATAAGAAACCTACCTGATTTTGTGATTGAAATCAAAATATACTTCAAATGCACTACAAAAATGTAAATACTCTAATTTAAATCACAAGTATTTTTTAAAATTTGATCCTAAATTTTTTTTTTAATTGTTAAAATACATATTAAAAAGTGCCTATTACTTGCATTTGCTTAACATTAGTATTTCTTGATACTAGATAAGGAAGAAATTACACAGGGACATCTGCTGGGCCTGATAATACTGCAAGAACCACAGACATTCTTACCTATTTGACCATGAATAGAAAAGCAGTTCAGTCAGTACGATGAACTGCTCTGTCTTATGGTGTGACAGTAAGCTGCTGAATGGGAAACAAGCCAGAAAAATAACCCCATATGAACAAATGAAAACAGGTGGTAAAAAACCTTGTTGTGCGATAGAAAACAGTTTGTAAAGCGGACAAAAAAAACCCAAATGCTAGGCAGAGAAAGATCCTATGTAAGTAAATATTCAATCAATAACGGAAATTACCTCTCTCAGTTCTCCAATTCTGCGAAGTGCTTTATCCTGACTTTGACTCAGAATGTCCTTTAAAAAGAAAGAATAAGCATCAGGTATATTATGTGTAACTTTAGATATAAAGTATAAATAAGTCACAGAATTATATTTCAGCAGAAGACTGACTTTTTTAATTCAAGCCAAACTTGATGTATAAGTACTGTCATAAACTGTCAGCTGTGGGTTGGCAATCTATCACCTGAATTCAGCTAATGCAATAAAAAATGCTGGATACAACAGCTTCACAGTTACTTTGACAAACCAGTATTAGCCTGGCTTCCTGAAAATACCCTTTCCTACCTGGGATTTCTGTTATACACACACATACATACATAACTTACTGTGCAAACACACACATGCCATGCACTGAAAATTAAATCTTTATCTGCACTATAAATTTTAAGATTCAGAAACGCATTGAGGTAAGAGAGGATGAAAAGTAATGCTTACCTGTAGCTTTTTCTTCTCCCGCCGGATGACCTGATAACCAGACACTAGCTAAAATACAGAAATCGGGTATAATGATGATATTGCATCTGCTTGCTTACAGCTATCAAAATAATTTGCTTAGTTGTATCACTATCTGCATTTTCAAACTCTCAAACTGAAAAAGCTCTTCTGACAGAAACATACTTAAATTTTACCAGTGTTACCTTATTCCATTTATAAAATATCTCCAATGTGCTTAAAAATGTAAAGCCTACATGACAAGAGAGTGAGGTTACTCAGAGTTACTGCACTTTTCCCTTAACCAAAAAGACCTCTAAGGACAGCCAGTACAGGCAGTCAAAAAACTAACTTCATCAGAAAGTACATCCCAGACAGCTACCCCACAGGGGTGTACATTTGTAAGGGTACACGTCTAAGAGAGCTTAACTAAAATTAATTTTACAGTGAGTATGCACTAAAACCCACACTTACAAGTCTAGCAGCAAAGGTCTGAATGAATGCTGAATGTTCTCATCCCCTGTGCTTTGCATATACACAGCAGACAAAGACAGACTCGAAGTGGACAATATTTCTCATTGTAAGCTGACAAAAAGGACTTCATGAGTAACTGCACAATTTAGTTTAATTAAAAATTTGATCACAATTGCCTAAGCTATCCAAAGCTGAAGTAGCATAATGGCACTTGGAACCAGAAATTCTGTTTTCAAAGTGCTGAAAAATTAAAGGAAAACAAATCCAAAACACCAAAACCAGAAATCTCTAAGTCAAAAGATAGCTTCAAATTCTTATTTAAAATAAATTAGGATTTTACAGAACTCAAAATGACTTTTAATTTCAGAGCCATACTTATTTTCCACTTAAAAGAAAACTAAAACTACTATGGATGGTTCCCTTACTGTATTTTTTGAGATGCTAACTTTGCATCCTATGTTAAGTGAGATAAGTATTTTACATCTTAAATTCCCATTACATATTGAAACTACTTTCTTCCAACCTCCAGCAAAACAGTTTTTTCCAATTAAATAACCTCACAAAACCACAAAAAGGCCCAGACTTTTTTGACAGAGAAAACTCAGACTTGCTGGAGTACACTAAAAAAACCCCAAAACACAACACACAAACCAAACCAAACAAACCCACAAATGGAAGAATTTTCATTTTGGCAACACTGTTGACATAAACTTTTTTAAAAGTATCTTATTATACTAGACAGAAGAGAATGAAAAATTAATGGGAGACACAAATTAATTCCTGAATTAACAGAAGACAACAGGGTTTTTTAGGCACATGCTGAATACTGAAATTGCCATATACATATTTTAGATTCCAGGGATTTTGACAGTAATAGCCAAAAGCCTGCACAGGAATCTTTGTATTTGAGGGCAGCAAACGTGTAAAGAACTGTAAAAAACAGTGCAAATGGACAGTTTTAAATGCAAAACACAGACATACTTTAAAAAAAAAAATCCAACAGCACCACTTGGAAAGCTTTACTTTTGCCAACAATTTAGAAAATGAGTAGCAAAACTACTTATATTATTGGTTTTCACCAAAATAGAAAGTGAAATCGTCCTTGAATTAATTCCTTCCAGGGAATACCTGGAAATGATGGGAGGTAGAACTTCTTAATTAAAACAAAATGCTTGCCCATCGCACATACACTGTGTACTTCAAGAACAAGTTTCAGAAGAAAAGTGCATTTGCTGTCATGTGAGTACCAGCCATGCTCACCTCTGTACTGAACTCCACCCCTTGCTATGGGCTTTCAGCAGAAACCGTCACAGGCCTACTTTGGGAGAGCAACTATTAACCCAGCTCTACTGCTGATAACTTCTCTTGTTTACAAACAAGAGAAGAAAAGGATTTTCACATTATATTACCAGAAAAACATCTAGTCCAAAAATAACTAGACTTACAACAATAACTTAACTTCCACGTTGACCGGAAGTTGGTCCATCTGCTCCAAACAGGAAAACAAAACGATTATCCACTACTGGAGCATCAGCTAGCCTCACACTAACACTGCCTACCTCCGAGTATTTTCCCCTATAGTTGCCCAAACTGCGCTCCATTCTGCGTAGCCGCTGCAGCAACTGCTCTCTGCTGAGTCTGTCCATATTTCCCAGAGGCTCTTCTGTTTCACTTTCAGTGTCGGAAGGTGGATCAAACGTTGGACTGGCTGCATCCAAGTCCAGTTGATACAGTGAGTCTCTCGAGGAAGTTCTTAGCAGGGACTCCTTAGAAGAAGAACGGAACACAGACTCCTTCACTGGGCTTTGAAACAAAGACTCCATGGAGGGAATTCGGAGCTGAAGCCTCTGGGCCAAAGTCTGAGTGTCAGCCAGCTGCAAAATATTCAAAGCAAGTAATTAATTCTGCACTCCTTTTAGGCAGAGACACACTAAAGCCCACGAAACAGAGATGAGACCTGGGCAATAGAACAACTGTTGCCTAACATGCATGACACCAAATAGCTACCATTCCTTTGAAGAATCCTCTCCTTGTGCAGAAAAATCAAGCATGCAGTTACCAGATGTGAGCAATTTCAGAGAGCAACTAAATCCAGTAAGCTACAGCTCTGGTTTAAACTTCCAAAAGAATGTATTTCTGTGTATCCTCTTTAAAAAGTGAAGGGCATGTAACTAAAATAGTTGCATTTACTGTTGTCCCAAATGTTTAAAAAAAAAAAAAAAATCTGTGCCTCACTTCTTGATGTATTAAGCAGAAGACTCTCCTTATCTCAAAGACACAAAGATATTTTCCTATGACTAAGATTACAAATTCAATGTGAAAGTCCTTGTGCAAGTTTTAACATGCCGTCCTAGACAGTCCTTTTTTAAATTTTCTTTTAAATGGTTTTATGATTTATACATAAAACGCAATTACTGATTTATGCAGCTCAAGTACTTACGCTGCTCTAAAGGCAAAGGTTCTACGCTGTGGTACCGTTTGGAAGTGATTGGAAAGCACGATGTTGCCCCCTGATTTATGCAGCTCAAGTACTTACGCTGCTCTAAAGCCAAAGGTTCTACGCTGTGGTACCATACACGGAAGTGATTGGAAAGCACGATGTTGCCCCCTCACACGTGGTAGGAGCCACTGCTACCTAAACCTTTTCTGAGGCACAGTCAAGAATGACCTCCACCTTTATCGCTAGCGACAATTTTTTTTTTTTTTAAGTCTAACGGGCTGTTTCCTTCAGCTAGAAATTAGCTTTCTAGCCACGCAATGTGCCCTCGACTCTTGAAAGCGAGGTGAGCGTTCCGTAGCCCGGGCTGGCCGTGTCCATGAGCAACGAGACACACCTCGAGGCTGGCAGCCTGCAGCACGCCATCACATACTGCTAACCTGCCCCTACAAAACAAATTCCACATCACTGACAACACTTAATACCAGCTCATGGGATTATAGGCAATAATACTCCCTAGTATCCTGGCAGGCAAGTACTGGTCATCCCTACTCCAGCATGAAGTTATATACCGGGCACTTGACATAACACAAACACACCAGCAACAGAGGAAACAACAACACAAAGAAAACACACCAGCAACAGAGGAAACAAACTCCCCATATCCTCCCCATACCTGCGGGGAGCCTGGTCCACTGCCATCATTTACTGTGGATCTGGGAAGCGGTTTAGTTAAGTCCTACAGGAGGAAAAACAACTGTTAGAAGGAACAAGCTACAAGGACTGTAATTCACAGATTCCTACAAACAGCATCTGTGCTTTTTCCTTGCCCGTGTTTTTAGTGCTTTCTTTTGAATGTTTATTAAGCTGTCTTCATTAAACAAGCTAGTTGGTTAAATTCAAAACAGACTGCTGCAACACACAGAACTACAAAGCAGCTAAGTGCGCGGATTAGTACGAGACATCTGCAAATGCAGACATCTCCAATTATTCATAATGATTGTTTATGTAACATTTACGCACAAATCAAAGAAACACCAAGAAGACAAAATGATAGCAGGAAAAATCTAATTGATGACCAGTGTTGTTTACATCTAATATGAGTAACAGCGGAATCACCACCTCTTCCTCTGTTTAAGAACATTTGGGGGAGGTGGAAACTACCTGGAAAAAAAGTGCTGGGAACAGGCTGTTGGAGACTCTAAACAAGCACAGGAAGAAAAATCAGATTTTCAGAAAAAACACCCTGTGCAAAACTTCATGCGCACATTGATCTGCACTCCCAAACAAACTAACAAAAATAAAAAAACCCACCCAGAACCACCCAAAAAAACTAAAACCGACACAACAGAAAACAATAGTTTTGATTGTTCGGGGCTTTGTTGTTGTTTTTATGGAGTTCAGGCATTTCTGTTCCTAGTCTGTCTATCCTGCTTTTCCTGTGTTCAGTGCTCAGGTGTTCTCTAACCTGTACAAATCCAGACGGTTTCCTGCTGTTTAAACAAGTTCAAACTGAAGCAGCAAAACATGCTAGAAACCATCCTGGATATGAATTTTTTTTAAGAGAAGCAAAGCACTGAGACGTATCAAAGATTGAGAAATCCCATTAAAAGCAGCGTAACTTTTAATTTTCATTCAAGGTGTACCCTGATAGTTATATGCAAGCTGTAAAATCTAAGGCCTATATACAACTAAGATATCAATCATAACCATCCACATATCTGCTACACGATTACACCCACAGCTTCTGTTCTGTGTGGACAGGCAGAGAAGCATACTTAAACGAATTCAGAAGAGGAACGGTTCACTGTAGAAGGGTTTCAGAAAGATTTGACGTGGAGCAAAGCGAAGGAAGTATAAAAATACGACAGAACAAAGAGAAATCCAAAGAGTTAAGGAAGCCAGAGAAATGAGCAGTCACCCATCCAGACTTAGACAGGGTGAAATGAGCAATAACCAGCCACACAAGAAGTCTGTTTGGATTCGGAAACTGCGCTTCACCAGGCTTGAACACAACCTGCAGTCTGCTTCAGAGCACTGTTTTGCTTCTTCCTAATGGATTAAGAGCTCTTACTGGGTTCTGAACTAAAGCACTCCTACATTTTATTCTCAGCTCCATTACCTGGGTTTTTTTCATTGCTTCACTGGAAAGTTAATAATAAGGGTAATCCAAATAAAAAATTATCTTCTGCTTTGTAATTTACAGAACATGTACCGTGCTAGTATTGGACTGACAACTGAGGAAAGCAAATACTTTGCCAAGAATCACAAACTATAAACACTTATTTCAAAAATCATATATTCTGATACCCATAGAAAGAATTAAGAAAACTACGGGGGGCTTGTACATCTAATTCATAAGAATAATTTAGTAATATTTAAAATCTATGTTAAAACACACGATAAATTAGATTTATTAACCCTAATAAAGTGTTTATGAATATAACAACCATGGATGCTGTTCTCTTCTGTGAAGATGCTTAAAAAGCTGATATTTACAGATATATGAAGATCCTTTAAAAATGCCATTTCAAAACTAAAACTAGTGTCGCCACTTTTAAAATTTTCCTATTAACTGTGCCGACATCTTTCTTTCAATCTCTCTGAGCAAAAGTAGAACTATATTTGGGATTAGATTTTCCGTTGGCATAAATAATAAAATGGGTGCACTGGTAATCTTTTAGACAAAAACTGGACGACCACAGGTATCTTACCTGCTGCAAATCTAAGTCACTGCACTCTAGGGCAAAGGGTCATATTCTGGTGTCCACAGAGCGAAAGGTAAGCATGAAAGGAAGTTGCTATATGCAAGTACGGATTCAAGAGGCTTTGAAGAGCTTTAAAGCCCTGGCCTTCCATAAGCCTTAAGAGCTGTTTCAGCAAAGCTAGAATCACAGAGCACTGACTGGCGCTTTGGAAGCCTTAAAACCAGCAGAGTTACATCGGGGTTTCTGGAGACCAACAGAAGGCTTTCTTGCACAGACCCATAGCACATACACAGCTGTGTCTCTATCCAGCAAGAGCTATGCTTAGGATCTGTAATAAGAGGTTGCTTTTTGTTGTTAAGATGTAGAAACCTGAGCTCAGTTTTGACTAGAGCACATTAGGGCATTTTAGTGACACTTGTGCTTCCTTACTTCCCCATTGCTGAAATACAAACTAATTCATCTTATTTATTTCTCAAAGGTATGAATAGATTAGTAAGCCTAAAGAGGCAAAGCTTAAATGTTTGCATTTAGAAACATTTTACTGTTCTCGCTCCTTCTCAGGTATTCCAAAATTGAGTACATTATGCAAGAAGGAGAGCTTAGTACATATTTTCTTCCCTTACTTTCCTTTAATTTTTCTTTAGAAACACCTCTCTCTCCAAGAGTATGTGAACTTTTTTTCATGCAATAAAATCCATGCAGCCTAGTTAGTAAAGAGTTTATACTTCACCTGTGCCAAAAAATCCACAATTACAGTCATTACTCTATGATTGTCATGCTCTTGGATCACATGTCACTTTTAAAGGACTGCTCTGTTTTAGCAGAATTAATATAAATTTGTGTGTGTTGATGAAGCCTTCCCTCTCCTACATTTTTAGTTTACCTCGGTTTCCCAAACATATATAATGTTTTGGGGTTTTTTTAGCACATATATATATATATATAAAATCAGCCCTCCTCTTCCCTATAAACTTTTATATCATTGTTTCCGCCCCCCAAATTGTTACTGTGAGAGTACAGCTCTAGAGCTTTCTCAAAGCTCAGAGAACAAAATCATTTTTACAGGTAATGTATTATTCATCCACACTGATAACACATTAACGGTAGCTCTTACATCACAACTATTTGCTGTGTATGCAGTCTTGTCTAGAAATATGTCAGTCAGTGATTCCTGCCACTAAAGTATATACTAAAAGATAATATAAAGACAACATTTGAGTATTCACAGAAATATGGGTTTTGAAACAAAACTGTACTAGGGATATTCTGTAGTGTAGTGTAAAGCAGTGAAACTTTAAAGTAATGATCCCTGGAGCTGGAATATGATAAAAATACCTAGAACTGGGGGGGGGGGGGGGG